AACAAGACCTATACAGATGGATGCCTAACCCAAACCAACAAAATATGACCTAACAAATTCGTTAAAAAATATTGTTTTTTTTCTCTATAAACTTTAATAATTATTTGCAATAAAAATATATATAATTGATTTTTTAGATTCTATAATTGAACTTAATTCAATGGTATTCTGTTAAAACAAAACTAACATAAAATGAAATTTGTTTTGTTTTGTTTAAAACTATGTCGTCTAAAAGGTTATATACCTAAGTTTAGGTACATAAGAGCCACATGTTCACTTTTCCCATATATATATATATATATATATATATATATATATATATATATATATATATATATATATATATATATATATATATATATATATATAAGGCTAGGTTCATGTGTTTCTTACATTTATTGTGTGCTAAAATGCACCAATGGATATTTAGTAAAATTAAATAATTATTTAATTAAATAAAGATAGATATTAAATGATTTTCATAATTGTATGTATATTAAATTATATATATATTTATAATTCTCTTTTTTATGGAAACTAATTAAATTCGTCATTAATGTCAGCAACAACATTCTTTCAGAATGAATTCACCTCTAATTTTTGATGTTTGGGTTCGTGTTTTGTTTATGGAACCACTCATTTAAAATACAACAAAGTTGCATGGAATATGAAAAACGAGAGTATATTCTAGTAGAATACACTCTCATTCTGTTCGAATATACTATCATTCTTCTAAAATAAACTCTCATTCTAGTAGAATACACTATCGTTCTCCACGTTCTAGACAACTTTGTTGTATTTTGAGTGAGTGGGTCATGAAACAAAATACGAACACATACATGAAAAACTAGATGCGAATTCATTCTGAAAAAAATATTATTTCTGGTATTAATGACGAATTTAATTAGTTTTCATAAAAAAATAATTATAATTACTGATATCATTTAATATACATATAATTATAGAAATCATTTAATATATATCTTTATTTTATTAAATAATAATTAAATTTTACAAAATTCTTATTGGTGCATTCTAACATACAATAGGTGTGAAAAACATTTGAACCTAACTTTCTCTCTCTCTCTCTCTTTATATATATATATATATATATATATATATATATATATATATATATAGAGAGAGAGAGAGAGAGAGAGCTAGGTTAAAATGTTTCTAGCAACTATTGTGTTCCTAAATGCACCAATGAGAATTCAAGAAATAATAAATGATTAAATAAATCATTTAAGGGTATTTTGGACCTTTTGTACTTTTAATTAAGGAAATCATTTAATTGAAATCCTGCAATTAAGGAAATAAAATAAATATATTTGACTAGTCTCTCTCTTATATCATGTCTTATATCAACGGGTATGTGCGTGGTCGAACACGTTCATCATCGACAAACGCATGTTGCCGCTTCTTCCTCCTGTCTCTCCACTGTCGGCTCTGTAATCAATTGATGCCACCGTACATTGATGCCTCCCACTTCATTCATGGGTCGGTTACCTTAAAATCAAATTGACCACCACCGGCATCAACACCATCACCATCACCGCTGCCCACTTCCTCTCTTCGCCGACCTCCATCTTTTAATTTCTTCAATTCTTAACAATTCCAAACACTCACTCACTCAATTCATATCTTCTTCCATCAGCAAATTCCAACCGAGTACTCAGAAACCTCCAAAATCCTCAAACCGAGTACTCAGAAAAACCACCGCTACTGTGCTCGGCTTCATTGGCGTTGACCTGGGGCGACGAGGAGGGTGGTGAAGTAACTCCGTCGAGTAAGAGTCATTCAGTGAGCCGACATGACGACGAGCGTGTGCTAATTAGTGAGGTTTTCGTAAGAAATAAGGACGGAGAGGAGCTTGAAAGGAAAGATTTGGAGGCAGAATCCATAGCCGTATTGAAAACGTGTCGACCTAATTCAGCTTTAACTACACGCGAACTTCAGGAAGATATGCATAGGATCATTAGAAGCGAGTATTTCTCTTCATGCATGCATGTAGCAGTAGATACTCGTGATGGCATCCGTTTGGTGTTCCAGGTATTATGTATGCATAAAAACTCATACTTTGGGTTTAATTATGTGTAATTAATAACCTTTGAGTATGCAAGACATATCTATAGTTCTATACACTAGTATGGAGTTATTTACACTAGTATCTTTTGGCATAAGGTAGAACCAAACCAAGATTTCCAAGGCCTGGTTTGTGAAGGAGCAAATGTTTTGCCAACAAAGTTTGTAGAAGATAAATTGCGTGATGGATATGGTATGTATTTTTCATCTTTTGAATGAATGAATTCTCCATAAAGTTTGTAGAAGATAAATTTTGTGATGGATATGGTATGAATGTATGATAGTTAGATTATTTTTATGATAATGTTGCAAAACCCTTTGGTATTCCAGCAACAAAGCACCATGTAAATTTGGTCAAAACTTTTGCATAATTTTTCTGCATTCTAACTGTTCGATGAAATGCCTATAAGACCCCATCTTTTTTTTCATTGCAGTTTTAGGATTACATTCTATTAGAATAAATTACAAGTCTTTAATGTGTACTATATTCTGTTAGAATAAATTAAAAGTCTTTAATGTCTAACACATTCTGTTAGAATTTATAGTTTTATTCTTTTAGAATATACTAAAAGTTTTAATATTTTAAAGTTGATTATGTTTTCTTTGTGGATATAGATTTTGAAGAGGCTGCGATTGATGTGGAAAAAGAAGAAAACATAAAGAACGAGAGTATTCTAACAGAATGTATTCTGCCAGAATGTATAAAGTGTTTCTTAACAATAATATTCTTTCAGAATGGATTAGTGTTTTTGTTAGATTTTGATGTTTTTATTTTTATTTTTTTAACCATTCTTAGTTTTAATCTTTAAGAATAAATGTAATTCTTAAACCATTATTAATCATTTTTGTTTTTAGAATGAATGTAATAATTGTTTAGTCTTATTCTTTACGAATTAATGTAATTAGTGATTCTTAAAAAAATAAAACTCGTATTCTTTAGAAAATGTTATTCTTGATAATATGTCGTATAATTCTTTAAGCATGTTAATTATAAAAAATATATTGAATGAACCATATTCTGCAAGAATAAAATCGAAAATATATTTACTAGTTTATGTTTGACTCTCTGTCATTCTGACAGAATAGAAACGGTTAGTATTAGAAATTATAATAGAATTAAATTTGAATTAATTTAAAAAATTTCAGATTTAAAAAAAGGAAATTAATTATCCCTTAAAATCCAGAAATTTTATTTTTTAATGTAGGTTAATTGACCAAAATACAATTCTGCTGAAATTTTTGTGATTATATGGTACATATTACCTTATTGTAATATCGTAGACCCTCATATCATGACCATTGATTTTATTCATCCATTGGTCCAGAATTGTGTTTACAGACACACAATAGATGTAAGAAACAAAATAACCTAGTCATATATATATATATATATATATATATATATATATATATATATTATATATATATATATATATATATATATATAAGTGGGTCTTTTAATTTATATATTTATTTGTGGTTTTCAAAAAAAATTAATAAATGAAGAAAAATAAACACTTACTTTTTTTAGCTTCATTGGAAAAGTCAAACGTAGTCCTATTTATCATCGTTGTCAGCGGATTTAAGGGCTTCAATTTCAACCCCATTATTTTTATATCATTATTTTTATATTATAGTACTAGTTTATAAACGGAACCACGGTTATAAAATTAATTAAACTTTCATATTAAAAAATCAATTATTTTAAATAAATTATTACTTAAGAGATATTTTTTTAGTTATATAAAATTATAGTCGTTGATTTAAATAAATAAATGAAGTTATATCACATTATAATCCCTATTAATTTTATTTTATTTTTAATTCTAATGTTATTAATTTAATATAATTAAAGTGAAACAATTTAAAATTTAAAATTTAAAATGGAAAATCAACTATTAATTTAATGTACATAGAGTGAAAAATTTAAAATTTGAAATGGATAATTAATAAGTTGACAAATGGTATGATAGGTTACACATAATATTAATGAAGAGTTCTAATATTATGACACTTGTCAATAGGAGAATAAATCTATTTATTTATTAGAATAATGATTATCCTAGCCTAGTTATAGCTAAAAACTAAGTATTTTTGTAAGAAGATAAAACCAAAATGTTATATAAATGAATTATAATAATAACAGTTGTGAGACTTATTTGCATATGGGTTAATTTAAAAAAAATATAAAAGTTAAGATATTTGAGAATTTTGAATTTATAAGAAAATAAGAAAATAATGAATTATTATTATTGAAATTTTTTATCTTTTAAATTTAAACAAATAATTTAAATAAATAAAAAAAACTAACGAACTTTAATTTGAGAATTTTAAAATTAAAATGTAACTTTATTAATGAAATTGATATCCATTTTTTCTACATTTATTGTAATTATTACATTAAAAATATTATATACATTTTAATAAAATAGAAAAATTTATAAAATAAAATATGAAAAAAATTAATTCAAAATAACCACAAAATGACATTTGGCAAATTAAATAAGAATGTGACATGTGATAAAAAAAACATTCATTTATTAGAATAGATTACGGATCAGCGGATCAAAATATCATAGAGTCATTTATTCTAAACGATACTGTATTTACAAAATAAGAATTTAAATTATGTAAATAGTTACCCAATAATACTTTTTTCCTATATCGGTACTATTATAGTTTTAAATTATTCTCTTAGCGAAGAACTATTCCATTGACTTTAATGCTGAACAAACCTATAAAAACAAACACTACTTATAGAATTACATTTAATATTAAAAATACATATATTAATACCTTTCATAGTTTTTTCTTATTCAAAAAATTCTTATCCAATCATAGCATAACGATAAATTAAATTATCATTATTATATTAAGCAATTCAGATTCATCATATTAAATATGAGAGATTGAGAGCGAAACTTGTCTCGTACTAACTTGGCTACTTCAACTTTTCCTCGAAGGTCATTGAGAACCTGTGTAAACGAAAAGTAACAGAGGCGATAACAAGGAGCTCACGTCACATCACACATGACAGTGTAAGGGGATTAACAAGCTGCGACCTTCGGAATTCTTCAATGGATCACACAGGGGGTTCCAATGGGGAGGTTCCGGTGGCCGTCGATGATAATGCCGCCACCATCACCGTCGCCAATAGCCGTTTCAATATTGCCCAATGTTCATCTTCTTCCTGCAACCAACAGGTATTTCTAATCGTCTGAATTGGCAAACATACTTAAACGTTTTTATCGAATTCTATCGAATCTATGTCTTCTAATTATTGCATGTGGTTGTCGGTCGAACGAAGTTAGAAGCTCGTTCACGTAATCTACAATATGATATGGTTAACTTAAATGCATGTTTGATTGATACGATGCGTGTTCTTATATTCAGGACGCACTTTGAAAACTGCAGTTATACTCATCGCAAATTTCCGCGTTTCAGTTTTTCATTTTTATTGGAGTAATTTTGAACAGTTTCACTGTTAGATGAATCGGAAATGTAAAATATGTTCCCGTGCTAATTTTGTAGAAATTGATGTCGGATTTATGCATCCTCATCAGGACGTTTAGCATATAGCTGATTTTTTAAATCTCTAATCTGTTATCCTCAGTGAAATATGTTGTTCTTCAATGAGAAATTGATGAGTGTTTCCCTCTTCAATAGTGTTGAATAACAAGATTTGGGAGAAGATAATGTCCGAAAGTAGGGTATAAAAAATTCTTTATTCCAAGTGTTCCATAGATAATACAGAGGGGGAAGCAGCTCCCTTTCAGTTTGATCTTATCATCGCTGCATTTAGTTATTCATAGTGCCTATCACTGTTTTCTGCTGTGTGTACATTTAAACCCTAGAATCAGAGTGATTTTGGGCAAATTATGGTGTTGAATCTGTCTTTCCAGGGTGCAATTGAACTTAATTCATATCTATATATTGAGCTTTATACAATTTCTATTACTTCTAGTTTACTTTCATAAAGTTTGCACTAACAACTTGTCTAATTATATGTTTTGATTTAGGGTACTAATAAGTGGGCCACTCTATTACTTGCTTACAAGTCATTAGGAGTTGTCTTTGGAGGACTTGTGACTTCTCCACTTTATGTCTACCCTTCAATGGCATTAAAATCTCCAACAAAAGATGACTATTTGGGAATCTACAGCATCATGTTCTGGACTCTTACTTTAATTGGAGTTGTCAAGTATGCTTGTATTGCTTTAAAAGCAGATGATCAGGGTGAAGGTATATGTCAATATGTCATAATGTCATATTCCTTTTAATTTATTTACAAGAATTTGGTTCATGTTGGGATAAGCTTTGACTAGGCAATGAAATGGTTGCCAGGTGGAACATTTGCTCTATATTCATTACTTTGCAGACATATGAACATTGGAAGTATTACTTCAACAACAATTGTGAATTCACAATCAAGTCTTTCATATAACAACTTGCATCAAGGCTTTGAAAAGCCAAGTAGACTTGGGATGTTTATTGAGAGGAGTTTAATTGCAAGAAGGGTTTTGTTTTTCATTGCAATACTTGGCATGTGTATGTTAATTGGTGATGGCATACTCACCCCTGCCATTTCAGGTTTGCTTCTATAAAATAATATTTATATTCACTTTATTTAATAGTATTGATTTTTTTTTTTGTTTTAAAAATTTGTAATCAGTGTTATCAGCAATGGATGGGATCAGGGGTCCTTTTCCAGAATTCAGCAACTGTAAGTTCTTATTGATTGTGCATCATTCCTCTGATTTTTGTTTATTCAACTACATTTATAATGATCTTGTCATTTTTTTATGTTTTTTTTTTAGCTCTGGTGGAAGCTTTGTCTGCATTAGTTCTTGTTGTTTTGTTTTTGGTTCAAAAATTTGGAACTGGAAGAGTGAGTTTTTTGTTCTCACCTATCATGGGTGCATGGACATTGACTACTCCTCTTATTGGAATTTACAACATCATATATCATTACCCTTCTATTTTCAAGGCAATATCACCACATTACATCTATCAATTCTTCTCAAGGAATGGCCATGAGGGATGGTTGTTGCTTAATGGTATGGTCCTTTGCATAACAGGTAAGAGTAAATGACCATTTTACCCTTTTACCTACAAGTGATGCTGAATAGAGGTTAACTGTTTATGAATTGAAGTTTTAAACGATAAAAATTACTATTTTTTTTGTTGACAAAACTACAAAATTGGTCCTTGTGGTTTGCAGAAAACTATAGATAGGGTCCAAAAAGTTTTCAATTTGAAAGAAACATCCAAAAGTAAGAAATTCATGTGGTTTTGGTCTCTGAAAGACTTTAAATGACTGTTTTGCCCTTTTAATTTCTTTTTTCATATTTGTTTTAATATTTTATTAATTAAAAGTAAAAGGGCAAAATAGTCATTTCAACTTTCTTAGGACCAAAACCACAGGAATTTCTTGATTTTTGAACAAATCAATAAGAGTATGTTGCTATTTTTCGCATTTAACTCTCTAAATAAATTATTATTTATTTTTGAGTAAATTATACGAATGGTCCCTATGGTTTGGGATAATTTGCACGTTTGGTCCCTAACTTATTTTTTTAACTCGGGAGGTCCCTACTATTTGTTTCTGTTACGTGCTTGGTCCCTCCTGTTTGTTTTTGTTACGCACTTGGTCCCTGTCTTACCTAAAAGGACTATTATTTAAATAGGGAAAAATGATGGGGTAGGTAAAGTAAGGTGATGGGGGTGGGGTTGAGGGTATGTTTATTTAAATAAATTAAAAAATCAAGGGTAAAATAGTCTTTTTAGGTAAGACAGGGACCAAGTATGTAACAAAAACAAACAGTAGGGACCTTCCGAGTTAAAAAAAATAAGTTAGGGACCAAACACGCAAATTACCCTAAACCATAGGGACCATTCGTGTAATTTACTCTTTATTTTTTTAGAGAGGGTGTATTATAAGATTTTAATTTATTATTATTATTATTATTATTATTATTATAATCAGGTTCTGAAGCATTATTTGCTGATCTTGGACATTTCAATAGACCATCCATTCAGGTTATTCCATTTCTCTTTGGTTATCTTCCTTAAATTACAATAAAGAAAAAAAACAAAATTACAATGTTGTGATAATAATAATAATAATAATAATAATAATAATAATAATAATAATAATAATAATAATAAATTAAATGAAATTAGATTGCTAACATTCTGTGACATGTGACAGATTGCTTTTTTATCATTGATATACCCATCATTGATTCTAACATATGCGGGACAAACAGCATACCTAATCAAGAACCCAAATGATCATGAAGATGGATTTTACAAATTCATACCCAAAAAATTATATTGGCCTATGTTTGTTATCGCCTCGCTGGCAGCTATTGTGGCAAGTCAGTCTTTGATATCAGCCACCTTTTCTGTTATCAAACAATCGGTTGTACTGGATTATTTCCCACGCATCAAAATCGTGCATACATCATCAAGCAATGAAGGCCAGGTGTACTCCCCTGAAACAAACTACACTCTCATGGTTCTTTGTGTTGCAGTCATACTTATTTTTGGAGAAGGGAAAGAGATTGGAAATGCTTTCGGTATGTCCCCTCACCCCTCACCTCTTGCATTTTAGATTTTTCAACTTTAAAAAATGGGGAAACTCTATAAAAGTCCTTGTATTTTGGCCTCGTAATCGATTTAGTCTTTATATATATTTTTATTCAATTAAGTCCTGAAAACCGGCAATTGTATTCATTTTGACCTACCCTTTTACCCGGTCAACATCTCATTAAACTTTCACAAATTACACTTTTGGGCCAGATTTTAAATTTTATTACAAATTTGATCGATGATTTACACCTTTGGCCTATATTTCAAAATTTTGTTATGTATTCATCCTAAATTTAGTTTTTTACACCCCGTAATCGAATATGTAAAAAAAAAACATATTTTTCACATAAAATGTTTTTTTTAAATTATATAGAAAAAAGGTTTTTTATGTGGAAAATATGTTTTTTTTGTATAAATATGCATATTCGAAACAAAATTTTGAAAGAAAAAGATGTAAAAAACTAAATTTTTGATGAATGTGTAACAAAATTTTGAAATTTGGGTCAAAAGCGTAAATTTTTGAACAAATTTGTAATAAAATTTAAAATATGGGCCAAAAGTGTAACTATTGAAAGTGGGATGACCTGTTGAATTGGTAAAAAGGTCAAAATTAATACAATTGCCGGTTTTTAGGACTTATTTGAATAAAAGAAACATATAAGGACTAAATCGATTATGAGAACAAAATATAAAAACATATATGGAGTTTTCCCTTTTTTAAATTGCATTTAAAATAAACGTTGCTATTTCATTCATTTAACCTCATATAAGATAATTTTCAGGTGTGGTAATCATTCTCGTGATGCTCATAACAACTCTCCTACTAATACTAGTAATGATCGTAATTTGGAAAACACCTCCACTTCTAGTCACTCTCTTCACTTTGATATTTTTAACATTGGAAACAATCTACACAACCTCCGTTTTCACCAAAATCAAACAAGGCGGATGGATCCCATTCGCCATCTCACTAATCCTCGCTTTCATAATGTTCGGTTGGTTCTACGGCCGCCAACGAAAACTCCAATACGAACTAACTCACAAACTCGATATCAACTACTTGAAAACCCTAATCTCAGACCCGTCTCTCCAACGGGTCCCAGGACTCTGCTTTTTTTACACTAACATCCAAGACAGGGGTGAAGGGTTCACCCCGGTCTTGGGTCACTACCTTAAAAACATGAAATCAATCCATCAAGTCATTGTGTTAACTACTCTTAGGTATTTATTGGTCCCGAAAGTGGGACCCGATAAACGATATGTGGTTAAACCGTTAGGGCCGAAAGGGGTTTACGGGTGTTTGATTCAATATGGGTATGCGGATTCGGTTAGTTTACAAGGTGATTTTGTTTCTCAAGTTGTTTGTTTGATTGAGAATTTTGAGGGGAGGGAGATGGGAGATTTTCGTGAGGCTGTGGTTCATGTTAGGGGGAAAACGAGGTTTTATGTTAGTAAGAAGTGTACGAGGTTTGATAGGTTTATGCTTGGGTTTTATGAGTTTATGCATAGTAATTGTAGGTCGGGACTTCCTACTTTAGGTGTGCCACTTCAACAACGTATTGAGGTCGGTATGCTTTATGAGGCATGAAGGAATTGACACCAAGTTTTTTTTTTTTTCTTTAAAAAATTGTTTTTTGGATAGTTTGTAGAAATAGAGTCGACCCTCTCGTCAAGAAGTTTTGGGTTTATAAAAATTTTTGGTGGATTTTTTTTGATCTTAAAGGGTTGAGCCTTGAATGATATGTAAAGTAAATGTTATTTTATCGTTTTGTTTAAAAGCAATGGTAATTGGTAAATAATAAATGATTATTAGGAACACAATTTCATTCATGAATTTTGTAATTGCAAATAAATAAATAATTTAAATATAAACCATGTACAAATTAAAGGAATTGCGTCAAATCAAATTGTTCTTGCATATCTTTTAATTTTTTTTTCGTTAAAATCAAATTAAAAAAACTTGGGATTCTGAAAATGCACAAATATAGTTTTAAATTAAATATCCACACCAAACCAATCTACTGGTGAAGGAGAAAAAAGGAATGAAAGGAAAAAATGGTTTGGGAATAGGTGGGACAAAAAAAATGTAGGGGTAAATTGGTAAATAGAGCTGTCTGAATGTATAAAGGTTACTTATTAACTTAAACCGTGAAGACAAAATTTATGCATTAAAACAAACATACCCGTATATCTATAGATATTAAGTCCTTAACTTTTTAAGGTTATTAAGTTAAAATTAATTGTGATGGCGGAAAATGGTTAGTTAGAAATGGTCCAAAAACCTTTTGTGTGTATGTTTCAATTTTATTTTTTGGAATGGCAAATGTTTTATCAAGAAAGATTCATTTCATGAGAATGAGCACCCCAAAAAAAAATATAGCTCGAGTCAACTCCATAGAACGAGCCACACCAACTGGAAATGGAAAAACTATCAATTCTATCGGTTTATAAAATAGTAAAAGAAATTCCAAACTATGCTCTCTAGGGAGACGGAGGGTCAAGGGAATGATGCCGGAACCTGGAAGGAGGTTTGCCGGAGAAAACCACTTGAGGAAAAACATATCACCCCCTTCTACGTATCGAATATACAATACGGCACCACTACAACCATGTTAAGCGAGGCGTTTCGGAAATTTGGGAAGATAGTCGACATCGACATCTATATTCCTGGGAGAAAAGACAAAGCGGGTTCATATTTCGCGTTCGTGAAATATGAAGGGACCAAAGATGTACAGGTGATGCTAAACTCACTGAACCAAATAAGATGTGGGCACTGTATCATGAAGGTAAACATCGCCAAGTATGAGAAGAAGCCGAACCATAAGATTCATGGGCAAGCATTTCGTCACGTTCGGCCACCACAGATCAATAAGGATGTTGGTGGATGGAAAAAGACAAGTGAGGGCAAATCCTTTGCAGATGTTGTTACCGGTAGAACGAATACGTCCAAGACTCCATTGGTAAATCTCAAACGTGTTCCAGTAATGGAAAGTGACTGGCTACTCTTGGGCGAGGTCTCGAACTTTCAACACCTCAGTAACCTCCCCAAGCTTCTCAATGTCGATGGGGAAGTACCATGTCATGTGTTCTATGATGGTGGCCTGAAAGTGTTATTGAGATTCTCTTCACAGGATGCAGCTACTAGATATTTAAAGAATGAAAATGCATGGAATAGATGGTTCAGATGGCTCAAATCTGAGATTATCGATAATTTGCCATTTGAAAGAATCGCTTGGGTTAAGGTAATTGGTCTTCCCATTCATCTGAGGTCTGAAGAGAATGTCAGCTTGGTTGTTGGTAGACTTGGCAAGATTGTTGAAGTTGACGGTTGTCAAAATTGGCATAACATCGATCTTACGTCCTCACATGCTAGGATCCTAACAGGTGATAAACTACTAATAAACAAGGAGATAAACTGTTCCTTTAATGGTAAGAATTACACAGTGGGTGTGGTCGAATGTGAAGATATTTGGCAACCGTTTTCCAAATATTATGAATCTGACTCCGAAACCAGTTCTAAGACTGTAGAAAATGATGATGAGATCAAGAAAAGTGATTCAGACGATGATGGCATATCAGAAACATGGGAAAATGTTAATCATATGGACGTGGAAGAAGGAGAAATTGTGATGGATGCTAAGGTGAATGACAATCCAGATGCAGTTGGTGGTGTTGTTGCATCTCCGTCACCGGCAATCTCCGATGGTGTGGCGTACATCGAAAATCAAAATTTTGCTTTAAATACGGATTCTGATAAGTCACCTGGGGATAATAATATCATTAATACGGAGAACTCAAAGGAGTTATCCAATACCGACAATATCAACGGAACGGATGGAAATTTGGATGATCAGATAACAAGGAATCATGGTAGGCGGCCCACCTCACCTGTTGGGCATGCTACAAATTCAATAGCCCAATCCCCATCTGGCCCATTTACTCCTAATCCGGTTCAAGGCGTCGATTTTCCCTCTTGTAATTTTGGGGGTTCCTTCTCCAAAAAGAGAAAGTTGGACAAAATTGAGAGAAACGATCATTCTTGCTCTCTCCCTGTTCGAAGATTACTGCCTGATTTTCTTGATCTCCCTCTCCCCCCGCCTAGATCGCAGCCCATACCTCCAATCATTCACGCTCCCTCCTTCGACCTAAATGTTTCAGTCAACAACATTACCTCATCAGAAACTGATGAGTGCTCCTCCTCTAACGAGGTCGTCAGCCTCATCCACATTGCAAATGAAGTGGGATTTCAGATTTCAGAGGATTGTGTTGGTATGTTGGATGAAAACACTTCCAAAGCAGTCATGGGTGATGGTGTCTCAAACGGTGATCAATGAATGCTCTAAGCTTAAATATCATGGGTGTGGGTGAATCCCACAAGGTTGATTGGATTAGAAGGCTTAAACAAGTACATATGATTGACTTCATTGGTATACAAGAGTCTAGAGTCACAGATTATAATCGAATTGATTTCGTTGGATGTTGGGGGTCGTCCGACTTTGACTTTGCAGCTGTAAACCCTACTGGCAGATCGGGTGGTCTTTTCTGTATCTGGGATCCTACTATTTTCTCTAAAATTAACATTATGTCATCAAGAAACTACCTTGCAATCTCTGGGTACTGGAAGGGTGTTCCAGGAATAACCACATTTGTAAATGTTTATGGTCCCCAATCTACCACTGATAAGAGGGCATTATTGTCTGAACTCATTACATTAAAAAACGGACTCTCGGGTATCTGGGTCTTTCTTGGTGACTTCAATGCAGTGAGATTCGAGCATGAAAGGTTCAACTCTGTGTTCTGTAAAGCAACTGCTGTAGACTTCAATCGCTTCATTACTGAAGCTGACTTACACGAATTCAATATGGGTGGATCGAAATTCACATATTTGCGGGATGATGGCTTTAAACTCAGTAAAATTGACCGATTTCTTGTATGCTCGAATTTTATTAGTATTCAACCACTCTTATCTGTTACTGCTCTTGCTAGGGATCACTCTGATCACTCTTCACTTATCTTGAAACCTTCCAATTCCAATTTTGGCCCTATCCCATTCCGATTCTTCAATTCTTGGTTACTAAAGGATGACTTCAATGTGATGTTCAAAAATACATGGGAATCCTTTCGTGGATTTGGCGCTCCTGATAGATTCCTCGCTGCTAAACTAAAATTTGTAAAGAATGCCATTCGAGACTGGACCAAGGTGAAATCAAACACAGAGCATTCAATATTAGTACAACTCAATACGAAGGTGGAAAAATTGGAATCGATTGCTGAATCTAGGATACTCACGGAAGTTCAACGAATATCTTGGAGGGACGATAAGAAAAAAAATAATGGAGCTTGAACGACTCAAGAAGTTAGATATGCAGCAAATGGCCAAAATAAAATGGGCCACAAATGGCGATGAAAATACCCGTTTCTTTCATGGCACCCTCAAACAAAAGAGTAGGAAAAACATAATTCACGGTCTTAACATCAATGGAGAGTGGATCTCAGATCCCATGGCAATAAAATCGGAAGTTTATAATTTTTTTGCGGACAAATTTCATGAACATTGGACTCACAGACCCAAGTTCATCAATCACAACTTCAAGCAACTCTCCAATGATCAATCCTCGTTTCTTGAGTCAGAATTCTCAGACCAGGAAATTAAAAATGTTGTTTGGTGCTGTGGGGGGGAAAAGGCACCCGGACCTGATGGGTATACCTTCAAGATTTTAAAAGCAAACTAGGATGTGATCAGTGGGGATATAATTCGATTTGTAAAATACTTTGAATCCACCGGTTCTATTGCCCCAGGCTGCAATTCCTCAAGTATCACTCTCATCCCAAAAGTGAATGACCCGCTATCTCTAGGGGATTACCGCCCTATTAACCTTATAGGGTGCATGTATAAGGTGGTGGCCAAGCTACTGGCAAATAGATTGAAGCAGGTGATTGATTTAGTGGTTGATAAAGTGCAATCTGCATACATCCAAAACAGATTCATACTCGATAGCCCCTTGATAATAAATGAATTATTATCTTGGGCAAAACAACAAAAAAAGAAAATCTTTCTTTTCAAAATCGATTTTGAAAAAGCGTTCGATTCAATAAATTGGGGCTACTTGGATTCAGTTATGGATCAAATGAATTTCGGCTGCAAATGGAGGAGGTGGATCATGTGTTGCTTATCTTCTTCCAAGGCATCTGTTTTGGTTAACGGGGCTCCAACGGCTGAATTTCCAATTTCCAAAGGGGTCCGTCAAGGAGATCCATTATCTCCATTTCTCTTCATATTGGCCATGGAAGGGCTAAACATTCCCATTAGAAGCACCTGTGAAAAAGCACTATTCCATGGGGTCAAATTACCTAGAGATGGCCCCTCGGTCTCACATTTATTCTATGCTGATGACGCGATATTTTTTGGGGAATGGAACATTGATAGCATCAAAAACTTATCCAGAATTCTAAAAAGCTTTCATATATCATCAGGGTTAAAAGTAAACTTTTTTAAATCTCGTATTTTTGGTGTGGGGGTCTCAAAGACAGAACTGTCAAAAACAGCCCAGGTGCTTGGTTGTCTACAAGGTGATTTTCCATTCACATACTTGGGAGTCCCAGTTGGGGCTAACATGGCGTTAAAGAAGAACTGGAAACCAATTCTGGATAAATTTTCCTCCAAATTATCGAGCTAGAAAGCCAAATCCTTATCGTTTGGAGGTCGTCTCACCCTCATAAAATCAGTTCTTGACTGCCTCCCCACATACTACATGTCCCTCTTCAAGGCTCCTCAAGGAATCATTGATCATCTTGACAAGATCAGGCGTAGATTTTTATGGGGAGGTGGAGAACTCAAAAAGAAAATACATTGGGTTGATTGGAAAACAGTCACTACACCAAAATCAAAAGGAGGTCTCGGTGTTGGCTCCCTACTTGCTCAAAATATTGCCCTATTGATCAAATGGTGGTGGAGGTTCATGAACGACAATGGCAGTTTCTGGAAAGAAGTCGTCATGAGCATACATAACTTATACAACAAACCGGCAATATATATTGCAAGGAAAACAACAAATGGGGTTTGGTGAAATATTTCGAAGGTGGTGAAATCCATTGAAAAGCTACATATCGACTGTAGGGATATTTTTGCTCTTATTCCTGGTTTGCAAAGTAACATTCTGTTTTGGAAAGACATTTGGTGCAGTAATATTCCATTTCATCTCAAATTTCCTCACTTGTTCGCGCTAGAAACGGTTAAAAACTGTCGATTGGAGGATAGATTTTCTGGTAACGGGTTTTCATGGATGTGGAGACACGAACCAACAGGTGGTATTGAACTGAAGGAACTGCTGGAATTATATTTGGATATTGGTAATATGACCATTGAAAAAATTCCAAATATGGTTTCAGATTCATCCTCAACCCCACGGGTGAATATATTGTGAAAAATAATGAGAAAACTATTGGAATCAAAATTGATTTCGTTCAAAGGGCCGACAATTTGGTGGTCCAAGCTAATTCCTTTGAAAGTAAGTGGATTCATATGGAGGGTTGTGTTGGGAAGGATTCCAGTGGCAGATACTTTGGCAACTAGGGGAATTATCATCCCCAATAATCTTTGTCCTCTGTGTAATAAGGAGACAGAAACAGTGGATCATATACTTGTTACATGTGAGTATTCTAGGGAGGTACAATATTGGATACTTAAATGGTGTGGAATTGAAGAGAGTGGGTTCAAAAATGTGAAGGAATTCACAGATTACGCGGCTACCTGGGGAAATTGTCCTAGGAAGAAGTTAATACTAAACATGGTGTTTCACTGCCTCATCTGGAATTTATGGCTAACCAGGAATGATAAGATATTCAAAGGAATTGGTGTGCATCCGGCGAAAATTGCAGACCATATTATCTCTCTCTCGTATGTTTGGTGCAAGCACAGAGGTGGACTTGGTTGTGGGAATTGGATCGAATGGAGTGTATCGCCTTTCACTCATCTCTCGGACTTAATTATGTCTTTTTTTCCCCTAGCTTTGTTTTTCTTTCTCTTGCGCTATTTGTTCGTTTTGTTGACTTTTGGCTTGTTGTAGCTTCTTGCTATTTGCCTCCTTTAATGATATTTGTCTTTTCTAAAAAAAACTGGAAGTGGAAGTCTGAACGACTTATAAATTCGCAATCTTTTGAGAACTCACTTAACCACAGTAAGCCGATGGAAAACATTTTAACTTTCCATTTCGAATGACATTCATACTAGTAATTAACGTCTACCCCAATTAGACAAAAGGGCCCCATATATACCTCGAGCACTACTACAAGCACAATCAAAATCAAATTTTTTCCGACATACTTTTTAACTAAAAACATATCCATTATAGTTATTAACGTCTCTTGTAAACTCAAAAAGAAAACACAAATGCTTGAAACACAAATAATTCATCCATTTTCGTTTCTTAAGAATGGATACTACAAATATTAAGAGATAAGCAATTCATATCAACACCAAAACTTACAAGTTAGAGTACTCGGTGTGGGCACATCTCGTGCTCGTGGTGGCTGACTTGGACGCAGAAAACGACGTTATGACGGGGGAATACTACCCCCCCCCCACCGGCTCGATGGCACTTCTCGTGCCCGTTACCACTTATTGAAACAGGGAAAATGTATACGTTGGGATTTGACCGTTTGCAACGGTCAACATTGTTGAAAATTATTTTTGTATGTGACCATCACTGAAATAATACGAACTGTTTTTATATTATCTAACAAATATAAGTTATCCTTATTTCAGGTTGTATGGATTCGTGCTTAATTATGAAATACAAAAATACGCAAAGACGGAAAAATAGCTGCATATTTGATCGTTTGAAGACAAAACAAATCAAGAGATAAAAATGTCAAGACTTCAAAAACTCAAGGGTCAAATATGAAAATTCAATTCATTAATTGAATTTAAAACTCATATCTCTCGGTGGAGAATTAAAAATGAAAAAGCAAAACTCACTCCCACGTTCTTACCTCCTACCCTACTACAACTTGCAGCCACTACTTTCAACAAACACTCAAGTGAAGAAGATTGGGTTGCTCTCTCATAGGATTGTATTTGTGTAGTTAGTAGAATAAGTGAGCTATAGGTTCGTGTGTGGTCTTTTTCTTTGTATACCTCCAGCTACATCTCCTAGAACAAAAAAAAACGCTCCAACCAAGACATCAAGATCAACAACAACCAAAAATGAAGAACATCAACCATCTTCATCTTCTTCATTCAAACTCAAGGTGTTCATCTTCAACCCATCAAACAGATCATCTTCATAACTTTCACCACCATCACCACCTTATATCAACCTCCAAACAAACCAAAATACTCTCCAAACACCTCCAAATACCCTCCTTAACCTCCTCCAAAAACC